CTCCCCCCCTACGCCCCCCCTACCCCCCCTGCATGACTACGCCAACACGCGCCTATCTCACCCTTGACTCCACACCCAGTCTCCGCGCGTGCTTGCTCACAGCTGGCCTTGAATACAAACCCTTGTCGGGGTCTCCGCCGTGCCCTCTAGCCCTGAGCAGCCGAGGCGGGCGGCGTAGCGTTAAAATTAAATCCTTAACCCCAAACCCAAAACCCTTCATCGGCATACACTAAACCTTAAACCCCCAGCTCCGCAGAACCCTTGTCTAACCCCTACAAGACCCTAATACACCCTCTCTCTGTGCCACGCAGTCTCGAAGCCCAGATTCTTACAAGCCCGAAACAGTGCACACCCTGGAATCCAAGCCCCGCCCCAAACCCTAAACTCTGAACCCCAATACAGGGGCCTTAATAATTAGAATAGGGTTTTGGGGCAAGTCATACTATACTTATAACGAGGAACCCCCATAATAGTATTGGTGTTTATCTAGGCCCCTATACTATCCCCGCCTGCAACTTGTACTCCCTCGGCACGGACTCACCGCGCGTTATCGCCCGCCGGAGATCTGCATTGAGCTCCTTTAAGGTGGCCTCCTCACCTGGATTTTCATGGTGGGTCTATATGGCTGTCCCGATGGTATTAAGGATGTTCTGCACAGGGTCGGGTTTATCGGACTCTAAGTGGCTTTTATAAACTTTGTGACGTTTTTTGCACGGCTCGGTGAAGCTTTCCCTAATTACTAATACTAAACCCGAAGCCCTAAGCCCTAAGCCCTAAACATTAAACCCTAAACCCTAAACCCTTGCCTCTATCGGGCTAAGGTCCTTCGTCCTTAAATAGCTGGTATTCCCTTAACCCCCAACCCCTAAACCCTAAACCCCTTTTGAATAATCCTAAACCCTAAACCCCTAAACCCCTAAACCCTAAACCCTAAACCCTAAGGCCATGGGGAAGACCACTAGGCTGCCGAGCCGCAGATCTTCTGGACGTTCCATGGCGTCTTGCACAAGTCAATCGGCATGTTTTTGTGCAAGTTGGCAGCCACCGAAGGCGCTTGAGACACTAATGTTGCAAGAAATCCAGGGAGGTGCTTGAGGGCTGTTAGGGTTCAGGGTCCCACAAATTGCTGGATATTTCTGCAAGCTTGGCATGCACCCAAGCTGGCATGTCAGGATATGTCCCCGGACGTGCCCAATCCAGTGCTGGGCCGGTCACTAAGCCGCAAGTGAAGCAGGATATAGAAGACTCAAAACTACGAGATGTTTTCCGGTGCTAGTTTAGGGTATAGCAGCCACAAATACTTAGATCGCAAAAGACGCAAGCTACGGCAATACATGGTTTCGGGATGATTCCTCTGAATGAAGTTACAACCCAAACATGGAAATTCAAAAAAACCTTTTGTGCATGGCGTAGCGGCGTACATGGTGCCCAACTGATCTTGAACAGCACTGCTGTCGCCACCAGAGCTAGCATCACCCCAGGTCACAACAGAACCGTCAGACCGAATGGCAGCGAAAGCTGCGGCAGAAGCTTGAATATGCTGCACGTTATGGAGCAGATGTTGCACACCTTTGCTGTTGCCGCCAGCACGACCATCGCCCCAGGTCACGACCGAACCATCAGCCCTGACTGCAGCAAAGGCTGCAGAAGAAGCCTGGACCCGGATCACATCCTGCGGCCGATCTGTCCCGGCGCTGTCACCCTGGGCTGCATTCGGGACAGCTGCAAGAGAAGCTTGACAGTCCCCACCTCGGCGAGCATCACCCCAGGTCACAACAGAACCGTCAAATCGGATGCCAGCGAAAGCTGCGGCAGAAGCTTGAATATGCTGCACGTTCTGGAGCAGATCATGTACACGACGACTGTCGCCACCATAACCGGCATGGCCCCAGGTGACAATAGAACCATCGGCCCGGAGAGCAGCAAAAGCTGACTCAGAAGCTTGGATGCACTGCACGTTCTGCAGCCGATCTTGCACCGCACGGCTGTCGCCACCAAACTGAGCATCGCCCCAGGTCACAACAGAACCATCAGCCCGGATCGCGGCAAAAGCACGCTGAGATGATTGGATGTGTTGGACGCTCTGCAGCTGACTCGCCCTGTCGCTGCTGTCGCCACCAGACCCAGCATTGCCCCAGGTAACAACAGCACCATCTGCCCGAAGTGCAGCAAAAGCTGCAGCAGTGGATTGGACATGCTGCACATGCTGGAGCCGATCTTGCACCGCAGCGCTGTTGCCACCACAACGAGCGTCGCCCCAAGTAACTAAAGAACCGTCAGCGCGGATCGCAGCAAAAGCATGCTTAGAAGCCTGGACATGCTTGACATTATGCAGCCGATCCTGTACAGAACTGCTGTCACCACCAGAACTAGAATCGCCCCATGTCACGACAATACCATCAGCCCTGATTGCGGCAAACGCTCTACCGCAAGTCTGTATGTTCTGCACATTCTGCAGCCGATCCTGCACAGAACTGCTGTCGCCACCAAAGCCACCATGACCCCATGTCACAACACAACCATCAGCGCGTATCACAGCAAACGCGAGTGCAGCACACTGGATATACTGAATATTTTGCAGCGAATCACGCACCGCCTTGACGTCGCCATCCAAACTGCTGTCACCCCAGGTCACTACAGCTCCATCGCCCAAGATGGCAGCATACGCGCCTAGGCCGTTCGTTAACATTCTAGGAGCTGCGACTCTAACGTGTCCGACATGCAGAGTCAGTACGTCACGGTCTTGGAGCCGTGCCTTTTTGACAGTCACTGGGCCATCCAGTGCAAGCCCAGAAGCAGTCAGAAGCCTGCCTTTGCCAACTCCCAAAGCACGCTGGGCACGTTGCTTCAAATCGTCGAGACACAGATCAGCTTCCGTCTCCAAGGAAACGGTCTTCCCACTAATCAGATGCACATCGACTGTGATGGACATGCTGCAGAACGACATCAGATGCCCAACACTCTTTTATGTAGTACATGAGAACACAAGTGCCCCCAGAAGTTGAACAAAGACCGAAGATGTGGTATAACACGTAAACTCGTATACAATCTGATCATAGCATAGCGGAAGCAGCACCTGCCTTTTTTTTTACAGCAGGCCTCGTACACAGCAGCCCGGTCCCCAGCACACTCGCTCACTGTAAGGCGAGCATCGACACTGAGATCGGTGCTGCCTAAACACTGAATCCATCTATATACATCCTTAACTTCCCAAACCCCAACAACACAATTCTTTCCACGCTTGCTGCAGTACCGGCTGAGCCAACTGGAGAGGATTAGAGGATGTTGATGGGAAGCCAAAGAGTGTAGGGTTTAGGGCTCGGCTTTGTCTTTTCGAACAGTTGCGCTCGGGATTCCCCTATTCTCGGTGCCCTGATACCTCCTAAAACCCCTTGTGCAAAACCCTCAAACTCTAAAACCTTTATGTCTTACTGAGCCCTTCCGATACCCATAAAGCCTCCGCTTGCTATGAAGTACAGATATGAGCAGCAGGGGCTTCTAGCCTTCCAAAGCCCTCCAACCCCCAACCCCATGCAAGTTCAGGGTTTTTTTTTATCAAATAAGGAATACTCCTTAACAACACGCATTAGAATATTGCGTGGCTTTTGAAGTTTCATAAAGGAATTATCTTCTCGACTCCTTGTTTAGGGAATACTCCTTAGGGCCTTAGGTTTATAAACTAAGGATTGCCAACCAAGAGTCTCTAGAGTCTCTGAGTTTCGGACACTTTAAACGGCTCTTGTGCTCCATGACACCTAGGTTCCCCAGTAGCCCCTACATAATAAGGGTACCCTTTCTCATACTGTTTGATTTTATTAAGGGAGCAAAGAGAAAAAGGGCAAAAGGGTACTACTGGGGAACCTAGACACACAAGGCGGGCTGGGATGCACCCAGGAACAGGCCGCAAGAAGTAGCCATCACGATTATATGACAGAGGCACCGGAGTAGCCAGAAGGGAGTCTCGACAAAGTCTGGATTTAGGGTTTAGGGGTTTAGGGTTTAGGGTTTAGGGCCGGCGTGATTGCGGTACAGCGTATCCCATACCGCTACTTGGAGGACTCTGGGTTGTCAGGGAGCCATGTACCCTAGCCTAAACCCTGAGATTGTGTAGCATTGGGGCCTCGCGCCATCTGGCAGGACATGGCATACTTTCCCCATACTTCCAAACTTTCGAAGCTATTGATGTAGCCTTAAACCCTGAGACCCTAAAAACCCGAGTGCCCGCAGGCCCGAAACCCTGAACCCTCCCGGAGTTTAGTGCCGGACTGGAGCCGCAACAGCAACAACAGATAAATCCAGATTTGATGGACCCCAAACCTTAGCAGCTTTGGTAAGCTTAGCTTTCGCAAAGGTACTCCACAGAAAGTGTAAGGAACGGCCCTGCAGGATATCTGAGCACTCCGGGGTCCACTCCGGGGTCCCACCTTTAGGGCTACTCAATGAAACTCTACTATTTAAGGGTCTAGGGTTTAGGGTTTAGGGTTTAAGGTTTAGCCCCTTCTGCTTCAAAAGTCCCTTTTGATGACGGGCTGGTGGCAATGCCAGGACCATTCATTCCTGCACAGGAACGCTTAACCGGCAGAAAACCCAAGCACGCAAGCCCGAAACCGCCTGAATCCTATACCCTCAAGCCCGAAACCCTGCAACCGTAAACCCACAATCCCGAACCTTAAAGCCCTGAAACCTAAACCCCACAACCCTGAAAGCCGAACCTCAAACCCGGTCGAACTCTAAAAACCCGAAACTCCCAAACCCAAACCCGAAAAAATAACAGAGACTAACTTGTTCAGCCCCTAACACTCAACCCTTTTTGCTGGCCACTCCACCGCCCTCTGTCCGAGTCGGTTTAGAAGAGAGCAAACTGCTTCCGTGCCGAGCCAAAGATCTGGTTCTTGTCCTTGCAGTTCAGGGTTTGTCGCTAGCGTTTAGGGTTTAGGGGTTTAGGGGTTTAGGGTTTAGGGTCTAGGGTTTAGAGTTTGGGGTTTAGGGTGTAAGTTTTCAGGGCTTCAGGGTGATTTAGGCTTTAGGGTTTTTCGGCTTTAGGGTTGGATTTCATTTTGGGGCAGCTGCATCCCTGAAGGCTTCCAGGACCCTCCGTGTACCCTCAAATCGGGGTAGATGGTCCCAAATAATGGGAATTTAGGGTCTAATAGAGAGTAGACTGAGTAGACGGGGGATCAAGGTTTGCTTCGTAAGAAGCACAGGCAAGAGTCAACCTTCAAGACGTTGAAGCGGACAGTCTTCGCCAGTGGCCGGCACTGGCCCGCTGTGACGATGTCACCCTCCTCGGGAACCCGAAACCCGAATCGATGTTGCCGTTTTGCGCCGTAGCCCTAAAGACCCCTCTCGATTCGCGCCCCCTGTCGACTTGGGTATACCACCCTAAACCCTAAACCCTAAACCCAAACCGTAAACCCGAACCATGCCAGAGTAGCACTGATTCTCTAGAGCGCCTTGCTCGGCGTGGCATGTGCCTAAACCGGGTTAGGGCTTACGTAGGGTTTAGGGTTTAAACTATGCTTGTTCGAAGCAAACCCTCCGCAACGTCCAGAACGAGCTTGCAGATTGTAAGGGCTTCAGGAGTGCCACAAAAGCTTAGCATGGCAAGTTCGAAAGCATGGGGTCATGGATTGGATCAAAGGACATTATTAATGGCATTCCTTCAAGTGTGTTGCTTTCAGGGCATGGGAGAGCGATGCTCCTAGTCTGATGGAAAACGAATCTTGCTCGCAGGATCCGGGGACTTTCTAATTAGGTCGCTTATGAGAAGGGCCAACATACTTTAGGACCTTTGCAAAGGCTAAACCCCCTTTCCATTTTCTTTTTCCAACCGGAAACCCGAAACCATTTTGCGACTGGCCTGCCGAACCTTTTTCACAACGGACTCGTCTGCTGCCCTTAAAACCCGAAACCCGAAAACCTTGTGGAGAGCCCAAAAAAAGCCGACCCGGGAGCCGTCGCCGCTCCTTGGGCCCCCCCATATACATCCTCGTAAAGTCTTAAACTGAAGCCAATAAGGTAAGGACATCCTTTCCTCAAGTGCTTCTACCCTAAACCCTAGACCCCTAAACCCCTAAACCTTTAAAGCCGTAAACGCGTAAACCCGAAACCCTAAACCCAAAGCCCTAAACCCTAAACCCTTTTTGGGTGCCCCTAGGCCCTAGCTCCTTGGGCTCAAAGGCCGGCGAGCAGTGCACGGCGAGGTTGCTGTGGCGCTTCTCAAATCGGTTGAACCTCGGGGAAAATTAAGCTTTGGGGTTTAATTAGGGTTTCGCGCTTTATCACGGAAGTTGTTGGGTTTGCAAGGGCGGTCAATCCGTCAGTGCTTGTGTGGGTCTTGCAGTGGACGGCGTGCTTGAAACGAAGGCTGCTCTTCGGCCGGCTTATGGCGGCGCCGTCGAAAAAGGGGGGGGGGACCCCCGAGATCGGCCGACTGCCCAAAGAGTAAATGGCTCTTTTTATAAGTAGAATTTGGCAACTGAAATGAAGTTCGCAAAACCACGAATCTTCTTCCTTGATGGACGTAGTTTTGTCAGATTTCCTCCGGGAGAAGCCATCAAACGCTTCGGATCCGTCCAGGAGGATCCACGAAAAGCTCAAATTTTGACAACAGTCGCGAAGATTGTGGCCCTGACAGGCAAAGCTCTCGAAATTTTCGTGGTTTCCACAACATCGAAGCCGTTCCTACAGGACAAATAAACTAAAAAGCGCTCCAGGATCAAGCGCTTTGGGTTTGGGGTATCTACCATAATGTAAGTTGGCGTCCACTCGAGGACAGGTCAACTGTCCCTATTTTCGAACACGTTCATGCTTGTGATGCCACGTACCTGCTAATCGTATTGTTCCGTGGTAGGCATGTGAGTAGTTTTCTAAAGTAGGGTCCCNNGGGGGGGGGGGGGATTTTCAAGCAGGGATCTACATTCAGTAGCGGGGGCCTACATTCAGTTCTTCAATGCAAGGTGTGTGAACCTACTTACTTCGGGGAATCAGAACTCAACACCAAGGAGCTTCTTGATGTAATGCAAGTAGTTGCGGCGGATCACGATGGTTCGCTTCATCTTCGTGGAGATGACCATGCCCTTCAGCACAGCACCGCGGATGCTGACATTCCTGGGTCTGGGTCTGGTGTTTTGAACTTGGGAGGACATAACCTTAAAGCTGAAAGTCCCACACCCTCAGTCCAATTTGTGAACCCGTACGAAGGCCGATAAAACCTAAACCGTAATGGAAAAATGCTCCAAAGCCTCAACTCGACAATGACCCTAAAGCCCGACCCGCTTCCACGAACCAAGAACGCCCAAATACTAAAACCCTAGACCCTTTAAGCAAAGTCAACTAGGGCAAGCTTCCCTGTAAACGGACACTTCTTGTCGACGAAGTTGCCCTCCTTTGCTTCCTTCGGGATGTCTACCCAGAATCCGGGTGCTTCTAATGCTCCTTATTCCCTGCGTGCTAATCGCCGTCATCCCCCAAGTAAGGTTGCCGAGTTCAAACTATGTGAGGTTTTCTTCATTACAATCCCGCTGTGGGTCCCTATGCAAAGAGTGACCTACTGTCTAGAGTCAAGGGGATCGAAAAGGGAATCTAAGGTAGAGAACTACCTGTTCAGCATATCCGATTTGCCGTTGACGGCTTTGACTTGCGCGCTAAAGGGCCAAGCGGTCGTAAGTTGCTTGGAGTAGAAATACGGAGGTGTTAATAGTAAGAATGGGTTTTTTAAGCCTCTTAAACTATAACTATCAACAACAAAGCTCAGGAATAGCATTACAACCTAATATAGGAACCTGATTAAGAAACCTCGGGCCTTTAGTAGGCTTCTCAATATGAACCCTAACTTATTTGGGGCTATAGGGCCAGGGTTTCTTGACCGGGTTCCTACATTACTCAGGCTTCTGTAGTATCTCTCTGAACCCAGAGTCGATAAGTGTGCTAGCACTGCAAGCCCTATACCCTAAACTGCAGGTACTGCCTGCCTTGCAATAGACATGCGAAGCCCATGGGCCCTTCTTTGACAATGAGACTCAAAGGCCAAAGGCCCTGCAGCCATAGAGCCTCAACACTTACACCCTGAAGCTCCCTGAACCCGAAAACCAATGAACCCCAAACCCTAAAACCTAAACCCCTAGTCTCATCCCCTAAGACATCTAGCCCAAGATGTCCTAGATCCTCTGAACCCTTTTGCCAAAAAACAACCTGACTCCATGTCACTGAAGCCCCACATCATCTTTTGAGCCCCACACCCCTTCAACCCAAACCCAGAGCCCTTGGGAAAAAAAACAAGCTTTAACTAGGGGCCTTAATTAGGATTGGGGTTTGGGGCCCATTAGACTATACTTATAATAAGCCCCAAACCCTAAACCCTAAACAGTCAGGAACCACCAAAATAGTACAGGCAAGTATTTTTAGGCCCATAAGAACACCCCGCTTGAGAAGGTGAAGGCTTCGGGGATTTAAGGGTTTAGGCTTTAGGGTTAAGGGGTTTAAGGTTTAGGGTTGAGGGTTTAGGGTTGAGAGTTTAGGCTTTAGGGTTGAGGGTTTTTTTTTTACAGTTGGGGTCGACTCTGGGTTGAGGGTGTAGGGTTGAGGGTTTAGGGTTTAGGGTTTAGGGTTTTAAATCTCTTAAACAAAAAAGAACGGTAGAGAGCTTTCCACAAAAGCCCGGTTTGGGGTCCTTGGGTGTGGCAAATCCCAAACCAACGCTGCGCCAGTAGCGTGCAGCCTTCTTGGTCTTTTTTCCTGGAGTCTGCTTGCGGTTTTTAGGCCTTACTTGCTACCGGTTTTGTGAAAATCTGTCGATGTTTGTCTCCTGGATGTGCTTTAGGACTGGGGGTTGGAGTAAGGCTGGAGAGCTGGGAGACGAGATTTTAGAGGCTTAGAGTTCTGGTCTTAGGGAGTACCGCTAAACCCTAAACCCTAAAATCCTAAACCCTGAACCCTAAAGTCGCCTAAACCCTAAACCGCAAGCCCTAAACCGTTCGGTGTCAAGGCTAGAGTTTCTGGGCTTGGGCTGTTGGGCAAGAACCCCTTTAATATAGGGGCCTTAATAAATAGGGTTTTGGGGGGCCCATTATGATATAACTATAGTAAGGAACCCCCAAAAATAGTACAGGTAAGTGTTAGATCCCTATATTACTGGCATGGATTCTGCTTCGGGGTTTGAGAATCAGGGGTTCGCAGTTTAGGGTGTAGGGTTTAGGGTTTAGGTTTAGCGTTTAGGGTCTGGAGTTGTAGGGGTTAAGGGGTTGGAGGGTTCAGGACGCTAGACCCTGAAGTGCGATAGGAGCGCTGACCCCTAAACCCTAAGCCCTTCATGGCGCTTTCATGCAGTGAAAATGGGGTGTAGGGGTTTGCTGCTTTTTAAGATTCTATTGGGTTTCATAGGGTTTAGAATACATGTCTGAAAGATCAGAATATAGTGTTGGGGAAAATGGTTGTGCCTTAAAGCATATGAGGAATAGACAGGGCTTCCCTCTACCCGTCGTTCAAACCCATATAGTGAGTAGAACATGGCGTCTTCGCAGCTTTGTCCCATTGTTGGACCTGCTCATGCTATCACGATACGGCACATCTCCCAACCAGGGTGAATATCTTCGAACCTGCGCCCGGCACCACCAGAGGTAGCCACCCTAGGTAGAATGTCTACTGCACATTAACCTTGAGACTCCACTTGCCTACATATTGGGGTTACTAGGACACACATTACACGGTTCATAACCTACCAACTCGGTTAGTGGAGCTCGAAGGTAAAGCATGAAGCACGACAACCCGAAACAAGACAACCAAGGTCCTGTCACCCGCTTGGAGCCAATGAAGACCGCGTCTTGCTTTTGGAAGGCCTTCTCGTTCTGATCCATGGCAGCTAGGACGCAGATGAGGGTCGATGTAAGGCTGCTTGAGCCGTAGCCACTCCCTCGGAAACTACCTTCCTGCCGTGCCTAGGTGAGGTTTTGGGGCTATAAAGGGACTAGAAACGGAAACTATTACGAATCAGTCCGACTCCTGTTCCATCCCGAAAGGTCTTGTGGTCTGGGAGCGAGATGTTCGCAGCAGTCTCGCGATCACTATTTCAATGCACTGCTTGATGCTAGTGTGTCGCGACAAAATCAACCCCGACTATCACCAAGATGGGATTCATCGGGATGTCTACCAACCTGCTACAAAAACCTGCTGCCGAGCCACCCAAAGCGAACAGCGGCATTTAGCACCTATGCTCTCGGGAATTGCCAAAGTCTGCTTTAAGGGGCTGTAGAGTTTGAGGATGCTAGAGTCTGTTAGAGTTTAGGGTTTAGGGTT